CTGACCTTGTGATCTGCCCGTCTCGGCCTCAAATAGGGCTGTTTACATGAGGAAGAGGTGGTAAAGGTGATGACAGGCTGTATCTCACATAGGAGTGCTCTATGGCTTAAAAAGTGTGTTTTGCGAGGCCTCAGGAGTTTAAAAAAAAAAAAAAAAGGATCTCAAGGCTGGCCTCTAGCTCAGGGCAGAGTTATTATAGACTAGGAGTTAAGTGCAGTGAAGATGATAAGGCATAAGTGAATGAACTATTTCCTGGTCCTGATTTAGGGCTCTCTAAAGTTAAGAGACACTGGCCAGGCTTTATATCCAGATATGACCCAAGTTCAGCTTCATCCTCAGAGCTATCTTATGAGGCAGGTTATTCTTACTCCTAATTTTACGAGTGATGAAACAGGCAAAGTCTCTCACCTAAGAGATAAGAATTGTAAGGCTGTGATGATACCAAACATTTAAGTGCCTACTACTATTTACCCTTTACAGGTACTAGGTACTGTGCCCTTTATCATCCCTCTTTCTCCTCTCCCTCCCCACAGAATCCTGCTCCTCACCACTCTTTGGGAAAGGCTGCGTCTCCTTAGTCTGGAGCCGGATGCTCAGTGCTTCCTGGGCTGCTCCCAGAGATTCCTTCTTCTCCCATGGCTCTTCCTGTGCAGGTCCATGTGCAGGGCCTGGGACCTGGAGGTGATCAGGCACCACTCAGTTTTAAATTTTCTTCAAATTACTAGTGTGGTTTCTGTCCCCTGCCTGGACACTTGCAGATGTGACTCTCCTTGTACCAAAGCTTCCAAGAAGACTTTAGAGAGCCTCCTCGGAGTCAGCACAAGAGAAGGAAAAGGAGCTAGAGTCTCTTTCTCATTCAGGGCTCGAGGCCGGAAAAGACAGACACAGAAACACACATTAACTGCTCTACCTGGCCCAAGAGAGGTTTGACCTTGGCAACTGCCCCTACTGCTGCCCCTCTGTCCAGCCTGAAGGTCATTGATCTGGCTCCCATAACAGACCAAATCCCCCTTCCCACCTGCGGCTCTGGTTCAAGTCCTTTCTCTAAATCCTCCAGCACAGTCACAGCCTCCTCTCCACTCTTAGGGTGATGTCCCCGCACCCACGACTGGAGCTCCTCAGGCAGGATGGTCAAGAATTGTTCCAGCACCAGGAACTCCAGGATCTGCTCCTTCGTGTGTTTCTCTGGCCTTAGCCACTCACAGCAGAGTACCCGTAGCTGGCTCAAGGCCTCCCGGGGACCAGGAGTCTCCTGGTAGCGGAGATGCCTGAAGCGTTGGCGGAAGATCTCTTGACTGGTAGAGTGGTTCCCAGGTAGCCTGGTCTCATACTCACAAGACTCTTCCTCTTCCTTTGGTTCCATCATCATAATCTTCTCTTGTCCCGGTGTACCCTGAAGGGCCAGAGTTTCAGCTGCTGTTAGTGATACAGCCGTTCTAGTCTGGACTACCTCTGCAGAAGGCTCATACCAGCTGGAATATTGCAAGGGCCCCCTGTAACATAAGAAGAAATCATTCCTCCTCTTCTTTTTTTTTTTTTTTTTGAGACAGAGTCTCACTCTGTTACCCAGGCTGGAGTGTAGTGGCACGATCTCAGCTCACTGCAACCTCCACCCCCAGGGTTCTAGAGATTCTCCTACCTGAGCCTCCTGAGTAGCTGGGATTACAGGCGCCCACCACCACGCCCAGCTAATTTTTTTGTATTTTTAGTAGGGACAGGGTTTTGCCATATTGGCCAGGCTGGTCTTGAACTCCTGACCTCAGGTGATCCACCCGCCTCGGCCTCCCAAAGTGGTAGGATTACAGGCATGAGTCACCATGCCTGGCCTCTTCTTTTTTTGATTCATTAAACATATACTCAGCACTACAAAGAGCCAAACTCTGTACTATATATACCCCTTAGTCCGGCTTTTTCTTCCACCCCTCCCGAGAATTCTGATGTACTAAGTCAATGCTTTTGAGAAACTTGCCTTGTTGTAGAGACGGGAATGTAAAGTGGTTTTCTACAATACAACTAAATAAATGCCATTAACAGGAAAAAATATCAAGGAAAAAAAAGTTGTGGGGGCCTATGGGAAGAAATGATTATTGGGAAGAAACAAGTTTGAAGCAAAACCCAAGTTTCCAAATGCAGAGCCCAGAGCCCAGAGCCCAGCAGCTTTCACTGCAAGGTGGGGTTTGCTGGGGAGGCTCCTCCCTGCTTTAAAAACTTTCTGAAGTAGCAGTTTCAGCAAAAGAAAAACGTTAAGTCCCCTCTACGGAGTTGGATCTCATTCAAACGCAGAAGCCCTATTAAGGGGCAGCTATGAACAAAACTCGGGTACAGTGACCTGCGTCAAGGAATCTAACAGGTGTAAACCACAAAAGCATCTGAGATAGGTCTCAACCAATTTAGGGGTTACTTTGCTAAGGTTGAGGATGCACCCAGGAAAAAGACACACAAGCCACAGTAAGATCCGTGGCCCGCACTTTTACCACCGAGGGTTTTGAGGGCTTCAATTTAATGGGGAGAAAGCTGGCAAAGGAGGGGAAGGAGTAAAGAAGAGGGGGGGTATGTAGTGAGGTAAGTGGTCACATTCTTGTGAGGATTTGATTAGAGCTGAGTTCACGTGTTGCACGTGAAAAGAGGAAGTCAATTATGAATTTGTCTGGTGCTCAGTACATCTGCATTTTCCACAAGATAAAGTAGATCTAGAGTAGAGGAAGAAGTCAAATAGCTTCGTCTCCGGGTGGGTGGAGGAAGCATTTCTAGTCTTGTCCGGTGAAGCTGGGCTGTTCATTTACATTGCCAGGGTGAGGGAGGCCACCTGGGGGCATATGTTGCTTTCTATCTTGCAGCTATCGGTTTGGGAACAAAAGGAAAAGCAGTTTTTTTTTCGTGACTCAGTTTCCAAGCTTAACTTTTCCCTTTGGCATAGTAAGTTTGGGGTCCTGAGATTTTATTTTCCTTTCACCACAGGGAAGGAGGTGGGACGCATCAGAGGCCACGAAAGGAGCACAAAGAGGGACCGCTGGCCGAAGACAAAGGAGGCGCGAAGAAAAACGCGGAGCTCGTGTCTCCCACCGTGATGCCCGGCGGCGCTGGCCCCAGCAAAACTTCCCTACCCCGGCCTGGGGCAGGTGCCCGCCCGGGAGCGCGGGAAGGAGGCCGTCGTCCAGGCCAGGTACAACTCCCCCTCCCACCCTTCACTCCCTACCCAGGGGTCTCGAGAAAAGATTAGAAGGACATCAAGACCCCCCTCCACGGCACGTGACGCAACGCGAGGGCAGCGCAGCGCGGGCACCGTGGGCAACCCAAACCCCTCTCCACACACGCCCACGGAGCTGCCTGCCAGGCCCGCTCAATGCACAGCCGCCGCTGCCTGCGGGACGGGCAAAAGCCAAGCCGCGAGGTGGACCTCGGGGAAGCCGCCGCCAACACTCACCTCACAGGACCAGGAGGTTCCATCGGGGCGCTGCCGCGAACCGGGCCACTTCCAGCCCTCACCCACCAGCTGCAGGTTTGCGCCTGCGCAGGTCGCAGCCTCCGCCT